TGGCCATTATTTCTCCACTTTAATAAAACAAAAAACCCTTTCAGCACTGTGTGTGTTTGTGTGTGCAGATACACCAAGGGTCAAGCTCAGTTGTTACTTCCTTTTTAAAAAATGTTTTATTTTTATTTTAGGTATATGAGCTTATTGCCTGCATGTACATAAGTGCACCTGTGTCGTGCAATGCCTGTGGAGGTCAGAAGGCAGCAGTGGATTGCCTGGGATTGGAGTTATGAACGGTTATTAGCCACCATGTGGGTGCTGGGAATTGATCCTAGGTCCTCTGTAAGAGCTGCCAGTACTCTTAACCACTGAGCCATCTCTCCAGCCCCTGTTCTCACTCTTTTTTGTTTTTGTTTCTTTTGAGACAGGGTCTCCCTGTAGCCCCAGCTGTCCTGGAACTCAGTATGTAGACCAGGCTGGCCTTGAACTCACAAATATCCACCTGCCTCTGCCTCCCAAGTGCTAGGATTAAAGGCGTGTGCCACCACGCCCAGCATTACTTCTCACTCTGTACTTCCTACATTTTCTAAAAAAAAAAAAGCAAACAAACAAACAAAAAAAGATGAATATGAAAGGGCAAGAAATGATAAAAGATATTGAAAACATAGTAAATGTGCAGCTTATCACAAAAACTATAGGTGAATATGTTTATATGTACACATTTATGCGTGCATAAAAGCTTTGGAACACAAAAGGAACATCTGAAAACTCCTGGGACAAATCCAGATGCAGATCCCTACAAGAGAAGCTATTTAAATCAAGCATGAGGTGCTCTTCAGTGGTCCTGGCAGGAGTGATGCTCCTCTGGACCTGGGAGCTGCAGCAGGACCACCGGGCCTTGGGCATCTCAGGGCCAGCTTCTCTTAGCTGTGCTAGGGACACTGTGGAACAGGCAGTGCCAGCAGCCTCCCACCCAACCTTCTCAGCTAGGGGGAGAGCAGAAAGGAGGGCATGGTCTCACCTCCAGACAGGCTAAGTGCACATCCTTGATGATGCAGCCTGAGCTGGTCAGCACCTGCTGCTTCAGGAGCAGGCAGCTGAGCTCTAGTGTGGCCAACCGGATCCTGCCATCTGCAGAGAACACCAGGGTCAACCCAGCAGCCCCTCGCCAAACACAAGACTCTTGCTCTCCTACTTTATGTTAATTATCAGCTGATAGGCTACTCAAGACCCCTCATGTTCAGAGGGGTCCCAGAGGGAGCTCCACATGCAAACCCCATTCCCAGTCAGTAACAAGTCAACACTCCCACCAAGCCTCGGAGCCCACATCTATCCTGAAGTATCCTTATCAGGTGGGTGAAGGAGGGCAAAATGGCAAGTAAGAGAGAAGAAGCTATACTGTAGCTGTGCATGTTCCGTATGTTTCCCACTTCTAGGTGTGGATACAGAATTGTGGCCCACTCTGAGTCATGTGATTTGGTAGAGCTGGACCTTCTTCACACTTCTGGAGTGAGCATACCACCCAGGGTTGGTGTGCTCTGGGTGATCCATTCCTTGTTCACAGAGATAGGGTGGGAAATGGCAAAGGAGCTCAGTAGAGTCAGTGCTCAATTCAACAATGTGCCAGAAATTCACCTGCTCTCCTTGTGCTGGGCTGTGGCTAGGATAAAAATGCTGGTGGGACCTTAATGGACAAGTATGATAACCAGCCGCCTCCCTGCCCTTGCAGGTACTGTCAATCTTCTTCAGGTGTCCTAAAAATGGCTCTGTGCTCTCCTTCCCATGTGGCTTGAGCAGACTGAATGTCTCCCATAGAGTAGTCTAGAGCCCCAGAAGGGAAGAGATGGCTGCCAATCATGGGCAGATACCCTGCCAACCCAGAAAACAGCACAGACATTCTTGGAAACATTATTTGAACCCCTAGATTCAGCTGTGCCTGAAGCCAGACCCTCAACAGATTTTACAAGCCAGTTATTGAGTTTGCATATCAGTTTCAGCCAGGTGTGGTGGCGCACACTTTTAATCCTAACACTAGAGGCAGGCGGATCTCTGTGAGATCAAGGCCAACCTGGTCTACATAGTGAGTTCCAGGCCAGCCTGGGCTGCAGGGAGACCCTTCATCAAAAAGACAAACAACAACAACAAAAACCAAGCATGTCTGTCAGTTTCTGCTTGTATAGTTTAAGCTAGTCTGGGCTGGGTTTCTGTTAACTGACCAAGTAGTGACTAACACTTCATGCAGTGCTAACTTGTTGGGACCCAGGCTTGAAGCCTGGTGCTATATGACTACCCCTAGGAGGAATCTTTACAGATACCCACTGCCATGGGTGCTCTGAAGACAGAGGCTTAGAAAAGCAAAGTGGCTTTGTCACAGCCAGGCAGTGGTGACTCCAGGTGCACTGGGTGCCAAAACCCACATCAGGCACTCTTCCAGAAGTATCTGTAACTGCCAGACCTAAGGCCAACTACTCTTAAGCAAACTTTCCTGTCTCTGCACTTTATTTCTGAGGAAAGTAGAGGTACAGAATGAGAATCAGGGAGCAGAGAGTCTCTGGACCATGCCTCTGAGACACTGGGGCCCAGGATGAGCCATCCTAGGGACGCACCCGGGACACCTACCTCTTTGCTAATGCCCTGTAGGCCAGGTGGAAACAGATGAGAAGAATCTGGGCTCACAAATGGCAAAACTATGTGCATGTAAAGCAGGTCTTACTGAGCATGATCAAAGCCCAGGGACACAGGCTGATCCCTGCTCACTTCTGCCAGCCCAGTCCCACCCAGTCTGGCCCTCCCTGCCCCCTCCACTACAAGGTCTGGATGCTCATCCAGAGAAATCTTATTCTGTCTGCAGCCCCAGCTGCTGGCTAGAAAGCTCTCCTGCCACACATCCCTTCAAGTACTCCTTGTCTCAAGAGAAGCGGAATGCGATTTTCTGCCCTAGCTACCACTACCTTGACAAATTCTCACCAAGGAGCTGACCCTATTCTCTGGTCAGGGCACAGATGTCTCAGTACCTGACCCATCATGTAGCTCCTACTGTCCTTCCTAAAGCTCACCTCTGGCCCCATCCTCAGGGTAAAGGTCTGCCTCCCTTGAAAGGATTGCTCAGTGAAAACTGAGCCCACTGAATACTTCCTTGTCATGAGTCACATCCTGTGCCCCCTTTGTCCTGGCTCAGGCTCCTGGGCTGTCTATTCCTCTTTGTCGCCTCTAGGCATGGGCAGTATCTCAGGGCTCAATCCATGACAGCCTGCTGGCTCTTGTCCCAACCTCTTCTCTGACCACAAGATTGCATTTCCATATGGAGTCCACAGCTTCTGGAACTTTGCAGACCACCAGCTATGACTCTTGGCTGGCATCTGTCCTCTGAGAAACTGCTTTAATGCCTGAGGACACCCTGAGGCCCCTCCCTTCCTCCCTCTTTAGCATAGCCACCCTCTGCTCCAGCTACCAATGGCCCAGCTCTGTTGACCTGATCCAGGCTCACTACACCGACCTGCTCTGACCATGCTTCCCTTCCCCCAGACCATAGGTAGCTGGGCCCAATCCCACACATTCTAGTGACCTCTCTCTTGCCTCTGCAGAGAACTCACTCTGTGACTGCTGATATTCTGGGCCAGATCACTCTGGGACCTCATGTATCCTGGGATGTTTAGCAGTGTCCTTGACCTACTAGATTCCAGGAGCATTATTAGTCTGCCGCTCAGAAATGTTTCTAGTCATTGTCAGATGTCCCCCGGAGGCAAAAGCCGTGCTAGATGCTTCATTCTACTGTTATCCTAATCCTCTCCTGGCTCAAACCATTGTAGACCCAGGGCATATGAGTGTAAAGCAGAGCACTTCACCTGAACCTTCACACCTGCTCCCCTTACGGGGACTCAGCCTAGTTCACTCTCACAATATGGCCTTGGGTCTCTAGAGAGGAGGGCTCCAGGCCTGACAAAAGCAACAAGACAAAGGCTGGTGTATAAGAGAAAGGTGGCTGCCACCAAGGGTGAGGAGAGCTCCAGAGACGGTCTGGCTGCAGCAGAAGGCAGGTGCTAGTATCTGGGAGGGGGGGTGGTAGTCAAAAAGGCCAGATTAAGAACCCAGGGCTCATGGTGCCTAGCTGGGGGCCTGGTCCTTCAAACACCCCTAGATGGGCACCTGGCTGGGCAGCATTGTTCATAATCCTGATGAGTCTCTCAGCAAGCAGATGGTTGTAGGTGGTCTTCTCAGCTGCACCTGGGACTGGGAGCTGGATTCGCTCTAGTTTTTCAGGATCCATGCCTGGAACAGAGAAAGCAGAAAAAGAGCTCCCTCAGTGGGAGTCTTCTTCCTAAAGACCTGCTGAGGTGGAGGGTCTCCAATTTCAGCTACCTGTGTTCCTCCTCTGTGAGGTCAGTCAGGCCTGGCCACTGTCTTGCTATTACTTCTGAGTTTTGTGTACACTGAACTTGCATAAATACATTCAAGCATACAATTTCTAGGGATGGGAAGATAGCTTGGTTGGTTAAGTGCTTTCTGCACAAGCATTAGGGCCAGAGTTCAATCCCCAGGATCCAAGTACAAAAGCCAGGAATGGCATGTACTATAATCCCAGTTCTGGGGTGATCCCTAGGGCTCACTGCAGACAGCCTATTTTAATCTGTAAGCTCCAGGCCAGTGGGAGACCCTGTAATAAGAAGCAAGGGTTGTCCTCTGGCCTCCAAAGGCTTGTGCATGCATGCATATTCACACGTGTGCACCTACACCCACATGAACACACATGCACACAGACACCCTCACACAATACATATTCTATTGCTACTTGTGAATGGGCCATTAGTATTAAGGCAATAAGTAACTATGAAAGTCACATTCTAGACAATGACTGTTAACTGTACTCACTGTAGCCTGAGGCCTACTATTTCTATTTAGAGAGAGAGGCTGGCAGGCATTTAGCAGTGCTGAGGACAGCATAGGCTCCAATGGTGGCACCCTCCTAAACACAAGAGGAAGAAGTGGAAGAGTGGTTTTCTCACAGGGCAACTCACTGCTGTTCTGTGCCAAGTCTACATGCCCTGAGGGCAGCCCTGTATTGGGCACTGTTCTGGTTTGTTTCTTCATTGCCGTGACAAAATACTCTGACCACTACCAACTTGGGGAGGAAAGGGTTTATTCATCTTACATTTCCTAGGTCGCAGTTCATCAGGGAGCCCAAGGTAGGAACTCAGGGCAGGAACCTGGAGGCAGGAACTGGAGCACAGGCCATGGAGGAATGCTGCTTACTGGCTTGTTCCCCTGGCCCCTGCTCAGCCTGCTTTCTTATGCTACATAGGCCCACCTGCCCAGGGGTGGCACCACCCACAGTGGGGTGAGCCCGGCCCTCCCACATCACTCACCAAGAAGATGCCCCTCAGACATGGCCACAGGCCAGTCCAATAGAGGCAATTCCCCAATTGAGGTTCCCTCAACCCAGGTGTGTCAAGTTGACACTAAAGCTATCCAGCACAATTGACCCCTTGTCAACTTGACACACAAACATCACTATTAAACCATAACTTTCCAATTTCTGTCCCCAAGATATGATGTTAATATCACAACCTTAGACAGCATAACCTTAAAAACCCCATAGTCCTTAAAAAAATCCAAACACTTTAAAGTCTATAGTCTCTTTTAAAAGTCTCAACTGTGGGTGGGCTTCTGTAAAATCCAAAACAAGTACTGTCTTATTTCAAAGGGAAGAATTGGGCACACCTAAGCAAAACCTAAGTCCAGCAAAGTAGCTCAAGGCTGGACA